AAAAAAAAAAGGAACAACATGCATGATTGATGTTAAAACTGATAACTTGGCACACAATGATATTATATTCATCATATGTTATTACATTATTCAATAGAGGATAATGGTACTTGAAAGTTGCTTATTGGCCTCCAAGCAGAAGCAGTAAGCAAGCACAAATCCTTCCACCCGAGCTTAAGCGCCCCGTTATCCTCGACGAGCGTGTACCCGTCGCAAGGGAACATTCCGAGCAAAAGGGTCGCCTGAGCCGCTGCATTTCCGGCTAACGACACGCCTTTGAAGCCCGACTGTTGAAGCTTTTCCCTCCAATTGTTGAATTTGAGCGAAGATGACGGGCCTGATCCGAAGAAGCCCAAGCCCAATACGTTCTTGATCTCCCTCGAAAGAAGCTGCTGCTCCACGACGTGCCTTTCCTCGCTTTCTTCTCCGTAGCAAGCTCCCAAGGAGTCGAAAAGGGCCGAGTAGTAGTGTATGGCTTCCACGAATCGGCCCAAGAACGAGCCTCCGTGACTAAGGTCTTGCTCCACGACTGTCACAACTTTAGGCGATAATCTGAGAAGAAAAAGTTGAGTATTTTTTTGTGATTTTATTAGATTGGTTAGTCGGGATTTTCGATTTTTTGTATTGAGTAGTTCTCGATCAACAAGGAAACAAGAGAATGATGAAATTCGAACGAGAAATTTATATGAGATTCCATCAGCAATTCCAATGCTACGACTTCCAATAGAAATTCCAATGACAATCTTCCATTAGAATTATTTTCTGTTAGAATTACTTTCAATTGGAATTTCTGTTGGATTTTGATGATTACAACATCAATATTAATGGATGCATATTCAAATGTTATGATTTTCGTTGAAATTTTCAAATTGATTCCAACGAAAATATTCTGTTAGAATTATTTTTTTATTGGGATTTCTGTTGGATTTTGAGGTTTCCACGGCAATTTTTCTAACAGTTGAAATATGACTCGAAATGAATATTCACAACCGTAATTCTAACAAAAATTACAACAACAATAAAGATTCATTGGAAAAATGACCATTAAAATCATCAAATTCCAACTAGAAAATTTTAATTCCAAATGAATATTCTTGAATTGAATGGAAAAATTTCAATAGAACAACAATAAAGGTTCATTGGAAAAATGACCATTAAAATCATCAAATTCCAACTAATATTCGAAAGAAAAATTAAGTTCCAAATGAATACTCTAGAATTGAATGGAAAAATTTCAATAAAAAATGTTATACCATTGGAATATCTATTGAAATTTTCACTAAAAATGTCCGTTAAATTTTTCATTGGAATAAGGTAAATATTATTTTGTAGTGAAATGAAAGAACAGGATGCATTGCATTACAGGCAAAAGTTACCTCTGCAAGAGCCACAGCGTGTTTGCGTCGGAACCCGTGACATCATACAGCGAATGCTGCAGCCAGTGAACCGCAACAGCTTCCCTCTTCCTCACATTCAGCCTTTCCGGGTTCAAATTCCCCACTTTATCCGCAACAGGGGAGAATTCGAACGGCAATCCCAACTTCTCCGCAAAATCAGAGAGGCGCTTACCAGTAGCCTCAAGGGCCTCGGTAGAACTTCCAAGCCCCGTGAGTCGAACAAACGGAGGCCCACCGGGCCGTGACGCTAGTATATGGAATAGTCCGGGCCACTGAAGGCCTTGCATGATGTCTAGGTCAATGATGTGGACCCGATCTTCCCTGTCGAAGGCCTGTTGAATGGCCTGGTTAGCCGTGAAATGCGAGAACTTGACAAATGGGCTAATGCCGTTGAAGACCTGAAATGCAGAGGTTATCTTGTGCGGGTGTGGGGCGATCGGGAGGGAATAATTGTTATTAGTGTAAAATCCGAGACACGAAGTGAGTATTCTTGCTGACATCGCCTCGGAAAAATAGGCGGCAACACGTTGTGCGGAGGTCCCGAAAGGCGTGGCCAGTTGCGAGATTTCGAGGAGCATCGTGTTCGCCTCTTCCAAGTTATCGGCTGAAACGGCCTCCGCGCATTGCAAGAGTAGAGTGAGTAGGTGAAGGCCTTGTTCATCTTGCTGCCGATGATGCTCGAGTTTTTTCCTCCTTCGCTCGTCATCCCTTTCCCGAATAATTATCGACGAATCGTGGGGATTACTCGTTGATGATAATGGGCTCTTGTTGTTTGGCTCGTCCTCGGCTTCTCGAGCAATTTGAGGATTACTCGGGAGGACCATATTCGGAGGAGGTGGAGGAATCGGGACCGTATTACAACTACTACTACTACTCGAAAGGACCATATTCGGAGGAGGATTATGAGGCCGCCAAGTGTGGTCGTGCGATAAGGTGGTATTGATGATGTTGCTTGCCAACGGGTGCTTTGTGGTGATGATATTCATGTTCCGAGTCGTCGTCGTCGGAGGAGGAGGAGCATTGGCGTTGTATTGTAGTAGTATTTGTGGGTCGTCGTAAATGAGAGATTTGAGCCTATGCTCGAGGATAGTGGCGAGAGTAGGATTCGAAGGGTGGATTATCTCCCGAACGTTGAGGATTAGTTGCGAAATATTTGCTATGACATTACTGTTGTTGTTGTTGGTCGAGTTGTAGACGAGATCTTTTATGATAGTGTCGATCCACGCCATTTGATCGTCGATCATCACACCACCGCCGACACCACCGCCGAAGGAAGAATTGACGGTGGTGTTAATATCTACATTCGGAGGTGGGAATAACGGCAGGCCTGAGAATCCACATACGGGTGCCGTAGAGGATGAAGAATCATGATTGTAGCACGAGCTCAAACCAGAAAACGGGACATGAGTCGATCCGGATTTAGTCGGAAGAACGGTCGGAATCATCACGCCATGACTTGAACTCGAACCGGAAAACGGGACATGAGTCGATCCGGATTTGGTCGGGAGAACGGTCGGAATCACGCCAAGATTTGTGTTGTTATCGTTGATCACCGCCCAACAAGACTCGTATTCGCCTCGTCGGGCGAATCTCCCGGAGCCCACCTCCATCATCTCCGAGGCCGGCCTCTTCTTGCTCGTCGTTTGTGGAGCGGAGATTATTACGCGGTTATCGGCGTTCTTAATGATGTTATCGTGAGCCGGACGAGTGATTTCACCGGCCATAGCGGTTTATTATCGGCTTTTTAGTTGCCAGCTTCTTATCAATCTTTAAAATCAAACACCTGAAAATGAACCAAATTTTCAAGAGGATACACACACAATGCTTACCACTACAACTTCTGCTCAAATGAGTATATACACAACACAAGACATGTACTCAAATTTAATTAGAGGATAATTGAGGGGCATATGATGCATTATGATGATGATGTAAAAGAGAGAGAGGAGAGCAGGTAAGGGGAAGAGAAGATGTGACAATTGATATTCAAAATTGTGATTGTGATAGTCATGGTCTCCAGAAGGGGGATAATTTTAACAGAGGCCCCATAGTTAAGGAAAAAGACATCAACTAATGGCCTAAATCTTCACCAAATTCACATTGAGGACCCAATTTTTTCCAATTTTATTTTTTTTTTTTTCCTCAAACTGGGCCATTTCATAAATAATGACTGGTAATTTGTGTGTTTCAAGAAGTGAACTTTTTTTCACTGCCATTAGAAGTTAATCTGCTTTTTTTTTACTATTATTACATTTTCCTTCATTTCTACTTGAAATAAGAATGACAGTCATAAGAACAATTCTACTCACAAAACCCAAAAACACAGAGTTCAAAATTGCACCAAATTAGCCATAGATTGAAACAAAAAGTTCAAAAAAAATTCAATCTTTGAACAAATAAACCAAAACCCAGAAACAAACCCCAAAAAAATCAAACAAAAATCAAGAAAACAAAAAAAAAAATAAAAAAAAAA